TAATCTCATCTAAATTCTAATTATCTATCTTCTTTTTTACATTGTTTACCTTTATATCATTACATAAAACATAATTCAAACATTTATTTTCTTTAAATATTATATATATATATAAAGTAATAAAAATCATCAATGAAATATATATCTTCCGTATAAAAGAAAATAATTTCTCACACTAATAATCTCGAATTATGCATCTTTTTCTCCCTTATTTTTAATCTTCTTCTTTCAAATATTTTAATACATTTCGACTTCAAAATCAATAGTTATGAATATGCAATTGTTGAGTTATGAATACGCATGCAGTTGTTTGTATATTAAAAATCTTATCTAACCTGAATATAATTATCTTGAGCAGAAAATACTTGTAATCTTTAGAAGATATTAGTAAACTACAAAGTTTATAGAGAAACAATAAATATAAATTAATTACTTTTAATTACTCATACTAGGGTATCATTTTGTAGGGTTGGTATGGATATTCTTTTACGATCCAAATCGAATCAATCTGTATATGATGTGATTAGTTTGGATGAATTTATCATTTTTAAAAATTAATTTAATATTATATTTATTCTCATGCAATGTGAATGATTGTAACAAAACTGTACTTAAACACTAATTCTAATAAAATCCTTCCCAAATTTGACACGGAAGACTTGTCAAGGAAATGCTTCCATTGAGGAAATGCTCAAAACCTTATAGGGTATTTGAATAAGGAATTTAAATGGAATAATTCATTTATTTGAAAATTTTTAAATTTTTTGAGGTGAAATGTCTTGTTTAGATGGAGGATTTTTAAAAAATTTGAAATTCAAGCATTTGTAAAATTCATTGAAATAGTATAATTTCAAATTTAAGAATTTAAAATTTCTCATATTTTTTTCTTGTTATTTCACTTATATATTTTATCTTATCTCTTATCTCTTCATATTTTTAATTATTGAATATTCAAAAATATTTTCAAAATTATTAAATATTATCTAATATTAATTTTTGAAATTATTAAATGTTTAAAAATTAGCTAATATTTATTTTTATAAAATTTAATTTAAAAATCTCAACATATAAATATATTTTTTAAATTAATTTTACAATGGTAAAATCAAATTATCATATTCAACCTAATAATTTAAAATTTAAGAAATTTGAATTAACTTATCCAAACAAAATATATTGGAAGGGTTCTATCAACCACGTGGAACGACACGTGAGACTCAATCGGCCACCGAGACGGCCGAGACACAAGCTGCTCACGCACCAGCCTCGGCCATCTCGATCGCCGATATGACCAGACCATAAAGACTCAGTTAATTCGATACGACTTTTGGACACGACAGAGGCCGTGATAACGAACCTACGAGATCATCACAGGCTTGGTCAGGCCAGCGTAACGTGCTGACCTTCTCAACGACCTATCAGCCCGGCAAGAAACCGGGACACAAAAGGCAATCCCGACTACCTCTCAGTTCCCTTGGCTCGGCAAGAGACCGAGACCCAAAGAGTCAATCCCACTTACACCTCTCGACTCGGCCAACGGCCGATAAGACCGAACTGATTAAGACGATAATCATGACTAACAAGGACAAACACATGATTAAGGCGTAATAAGCCGATTAGTACCGTATTACCTAATTTGGTAAGTGTCAGAAGAGGCCCACAACGCTCAGGACCCATCACAAGCAGTATAAATAGTTCATGTAAAATGAGGTATGTCACTGTTCATTTATTACCATCGAAAATCATGCTTGTCCTGACTTAAGCATCGAAGTGCCTTTTGCAGGTACCTCCTCCCTTTGAAGTATCTGCTTGGAGCTCTCGTTCGACCCTCTAGCTACTAGAAGATTACGAGTGTGCCCTTAAACAGATACACAAAATATTTTAAGAATGATAAAAATTGCAATCCAAGTAATTCAAATACCAAGAATTTAAAATTTTTTGAATTTGTAAAATTCTTCTTCAAACAAACCATTAGGTCCTTAACCCTACTAGAGTGAGAAGAGAATAGAAGTTAAGAACTATAAAAGTGTGTGTGGATTGTACAAAAGTGTTATATCATTAAGAATGAGTGAAAAGTTAGGTTGAACTTTTAGTTCAAACTCAAAACTTTTATTTATTTTTATATATATATATATATTAATAAACTCTAAACCTTTACAAAAATAAAAAAAAATATAATAACTGATCAGTTGGGTCAAGAATTAAATTAAATTTTCAACATCAAATTTTATATACGCGGTAAGATTTGAATAAGTTCATTTTAATCAACAGTTCACGTATATTAAATTGGACACTATTTTATTTCTTTTAATCAGAGAGAGGATCCGTTTCCATACTTGTACATATGTAGTCTTTTAAGATTTATAAGATATTTTTTGGTTAATAGCCTGTTTGCTTTTACACTTGAAAACTTGGAGGTGATTTTGAGAAGTAACAATTAGTTGCTTTTGCTGCATTATAACGTGAAAATAAGAGAAAACGTGGATCCCAAACGTATTACCAAACACGCACTAAATAATTTCTTAAAATCGCATCTGCGCTTGAGACCAAGTTCACAAGGCCAGCAGAGAATGCCTAGTTGCTTGCAATTTTGTTGAGACATCTCTCATCCTCCAACGATCTTTTGGTTTATGAGCTATGCAACACAACCCAATTCTTATCACTGCAGCTACGCATTCCTCTGCTTTGCATGTTCTATGTGTGTTGTCACCAATGCTACTACTGCTATGGTCACCAGTGCTTGAGCTTTGTGTTGAATATTCATAATCATCAATAAGCCTTCGATCAGCAACCCTCACTACTTGATCCTCTTCCATGGTTGAGACAAATTTCCTTAGGCCTAATCCTTCTTTGAACATCTCTTCAGTTGGTCTTTTGCCTGTGAACATCTCTAGCAGTAGAATTCCAAAACTGTACACGTCGCCATGAGTTGAAGCCTTGCCTCCTACACCATATTCTGAAACATATCACCCCAATATTAGTGGGTGTGTGTGTATCATTTATGTACAATTAACAAGTAAAACGAAACTACAAAAAGAAAATATCAGTTATTATTATAGGAATCAAAGCATTAATGTGTACCTGGGGCAATATAGCCAATGGATCCCTTCAGTCCCAGAGTACTACTCTGCTTCTCTGGTGTACTTTGAGATGTAAACCTTGCCAAACCAAAATCTGCAACATGTGCAACCATATTTTCATCCAGAAGCACATTGGCAGGTTTCAAATCGCAATGCACTATTGGTGGATCACAGTCATGGTGCAAGTAGTCCATAGCAGAAGCAACATCAATGGCAATGTTCAATCTTTGCAACAAGGTTAAAGAAGATCCTGACTCAACATCTTCTGGGTATAGACTTGCATCCAAGTTACCATTGGCCATGAATTGCATAACAAGGGCCTTGAACTCCTCTCCTTTATAATCAAGGCTAGAGCAAGAAGTGATAACCTTCACTAGGTTCCGGTGCCTAACATTTTTCAAAGCTTCACATTCAACATTAAAACTTTTAGAAGCTTTGCTTTGTTGTAGGTCCAGGACTTTGACAGCAAGGGTGGCGGTTTCACCAGTGCTGAAGCTGAATACACCCTTATACACAGAGCCAAAGCCTCCTTTTCCAATCAAATTTTCAGCTGCAAAATTATTTGTTGCAATCCGAATATCACCATAAGATATATTTTGAGGCAATCCTCTGAGAGGGGCAGATGGCACCCTGGTTTTCGCCTCCTTTCTTTTCTTTCGGTACATCATGGTGCAAATTAGCAAGAGCATTGAAATGATCAAAGCAGTAGCACCAACAACTCCAAGGATGATAGGGAGTAAAATCTTTCTTTTCTTTTTACCAACACACAGGAGTACACCCAAATTCTGCACAATTTCCATGTTAAGGCTACACAGTTGGTTGTTACCCTGAAGATCAAGCTTGGTAAGGTTCATAAAAACACCTTTCACAGGCACTTCCCCTTCCAAATAGTTGAAAGACAAATTTAATCTCTCTATATACTGGAGCTTTTCTAAACTTTGAGGAATAGGGCCAGTGAGATTGTTTGATGATAAATCCAAAGTCTCAAGGGATGCTAAATTCCCAAGATTAGTTGGGATTGAGCCATTGAATTTGTTTCTTGCCATCACAAGTTTCTTCAAGCTAGAACAATCCTCTATTTCCACAGGAATGTTCCCTGACAACTGGTTGCCAGAAAGAACTATGGTTTCAATCTGTGTCATGATGCTGACTTCATGAGGAAGTGAACCATGCAGAGAGTTTCCTTCTAAATACAATTTTGTTAAACCAGAAAGTTGAAAAATCTCCTTTGGTATGGTCCCACCAAGCCTATTCATCCCCAGGTCAAGAAAAGTTAATCTCTTGCATTGTCCAATACTCGGGTGAATTCTACCCGAGAACTGGTTATTTCCCATTGCAAGAATATACATATTGGTGAAATTGCCAAAAATGTCTGGAATTTCTCCAGATAATCTATTGCTATATATCACAAGTTGCTGTAGATTATGTAGTGCTCCTATTTCTGATGGTAACTCTCCCGTGAAAGAGTTGTTTTCGAAAGACAAGGATATGAGATTTTGAAATTTCTTCATTCCTTGAGGAATGGCACCGGTTAGCAAATTGTTAGCAACACAGAATTGTTGGAGAGTGCCAGACAGATTAGCAACAGAGCTTGGAAGATCCCCGGCCAAATGGTTATCATTGATCATGAGAATTTGTAGCTGGGTGGAGTTTGTAAGGGAATCAAAGAACTGAAAATTCAACGACGTCGTAGAAGAGAGAAAATTATTACCAAGAACGAGGTAGGTAAGGTATTTGAAGTTGTAGAATAGAGGTATGGGGCCGTGAAACTTGTTGTTAGCAAGGTCAATGTGTTGAAGATTTGTGGCATTGGATATTGAATTCGGAATTACCCCTTCAAACCTATTGGTTGCCAGAGACAGAAAGATTAAATTTGGAAGGGCATGGACAAAATCTTGTGGTAACTTGCCAGATAGATTGTTTTGTGTGACAGATAAGAAGACTAAGGAAGAGATGTTGAGGATAGAAGTGGGAAACTGGCCTGAGAAATTGTTCACTGAGAGTTGAAGATAGGAAAGATTGTGGAGATTACCAAGTTCACTTGGAATCTCACCCACAAAACCGTTCCTTGCCAAGGAAAGATTCTTAAGAGAAAAGAGATTTCCAAATGATGGAGGGACTTTACCTGTGAGATTGTTGACTGAAAAGTCTAAAATTTGTAGACGGTGGAGATGGCCCAGCTGTTGTGGAAGTGTACCACTGAGATTGTTGTAAGGTAATTTGATCTCATTGAGAAGCGATAGATGGGCAAACTCTGGGGGAATTGGGCCATGAAAACTGTTGTTGGAAAGGTCAAGTGTGTGCAAGTATGTGAGGTTGGAAAGCTGAGGGGGTAGTTTGCCAAAGAGGCCAACTGATGGTAAAGTGAGAGATTGAACCCTGTTTCCAACTTTGGAGCAGGTTACACCATTCCAAGTGCAGTGATTCGAATGTGTAGACCAGTCAGAGAAAGCACTTTTTGGGTCACTCACTTGGGATTTGAAAGAAAGAAGGGCATCTCTGTCTGTGTCATTGTTGCACAGTATGTCATTAAAATGATGAAGTAAAAAACATAGGAGTAAAATAAGTTTAACATACATCATCTTGAGTAAAAGTTTGCACTATGCAATGCAGTGTTGGGTTACACTTAACATCTTCATGTACAACTCAATGAGCATGCAAATATATATATAAGTTGAAATCTTCGTTAAGATGTTTGACGGTTGCAGGTTAACGGCTTTACTTTGAATCAGTCATGTTAACTGTTAGCTGGACACTCATTCTGACTTTTGGGTTAAATGTTTCGAGATAGCGGTTGTTGATCGCAAAAGGGGTAATGACTTAATGGTCCACACAAGAATTCGTGTATTTTCGCACTGAATTATTTTGGTAACAATTTGGAATGAAAGATATACCCAAGTGTTTCATTCTATTTATCTTTTTCCTATCTGTATTTCGTCCATCTAGCAAAAACTAATATTCTTAACGTCATAACTTAATTTAACGTTATTGGGAATATTTGTTATATTGACCTTTCCAACTTAACAAAGTGTAATAAAGAGGCACAACACTTTTAGCCCCACATGTGATGTGACATCTATCTGACTTCACGAGAATATTGCTTTGTTTTGACTGGAATAAAGTTTGCGACAATTAATGTTTGGTTCAACGTTGATTTAGTCTTTCTGCATTTTTCTAATTAATCTAGTAAGTTTAGATCTAATTTTTCTAATATTCGGATCAAATCTAATATAATCCAACCAAACTGTGATAGTTGAATAATAGATTTTGTATTTTTAACTCGATAAAATTTTGATCATATTTAACAATAATAATAATAATCAAATAATGTTTGAATGATTATTTATTGGTGATAATATTTATTATGATTCTTAGTAACGAGTTTTGTGTTTTAAATGGGTAAAATTGTAACAATATAAAATATTTATTTAAAATTTTATTTTATATTAATTAATGTTAGTTTTTAGTTAATAATAATATAACAAATTAATAAATTTTTTTATAATTAAATATGTATCCTTGTTTGCTTTATAAGTTGATAATATTATATTTGTAATAATCTTTCAAATCATTTACATCTATTTTACAAAAATTTTACAAAAAATAAATAAATATAATTATGTTGCTTCGATTAATCCAACCCGTTTGTGATCGGATTGGATTTTTTTTTTTTTTTTTTTGCATAAATTTGACCCAACCTAACCCGTTAAATTTTGATTAGGTCAGACAACAGATTCATCCAAATCCGATCTAACCCAACCCTCATACACCCTTACCTACCGGTGATTTGTCTGTAATATGTATTAAATGTTATTTAGTTGCCTAATAAACAGGGGGTGTTATTTGTCAAAATGGCATGGTCATAATTTTATTCCCCATAATTGTAGGGGGTGTATTGGATTAGGATTTTAAAAGACTTTTTTAGTTAAAAAAAATCTTGTGAATTTTAAAAGACTTTGCAGGATTTTCATAATTTTTAAGATTTTGCAGGATTCTACAAAACTTAAAATCAGGATTTTAATGGATTTTGCAAGACTTTTAAATCGGGATTTTAATGGATTCTGTGAGATTTTGTGAATTTTGTAGAATTTTCATGGATTTTTAATATTTGATAAGATTTCAAAAAAAATTTCATACATTCAAATTTAAAAAGAGTCAAAGAAAAAAAAAATAATGTTTAGATAAATAATAATAATAATAATTTTTCATAATATCGTATCCTCTTAAATAACATTCACCCACATATCTATAGCTATACTAGTCCTCCAAGCATTAGCGTCTTCTCGCTTTTGCTCCTGGGTTTAAATAATAGGCTCAAAAGTATGATCTTCATTAACTGGTAACATTGAAGATGAAGGTTCATCCACCGCTTCAATTGAAAGTTCATCATAACGACATTCTTTACGTAGAAAGTTATGTAGTGTTGCACATATTAACACAAGTTCTACTTGTGTCTTAAATAAAAATGGAGGTGCTGACTTAAAAATTGTGAAACATGATTTAAAAATATCAAACATTCTTTCGATCACATTCCTTAAAGATGCATAACGAAGATTGAACAATTCTTTCTCATTTTCAGGGTCATTACTCTAACCTGCTAAATCTTGTAGATGATATCTTACACCTCGAAATAGAGCTAAAAATTAGCGTCGATTAGGAAATCCACAATCCACCAAAAAATATTATTTTAGTTATATATTATATGATAATTTTTAACGATATTTATAAATGTAAATTATTCTAACAAATATTTTAACAGTATTTCCTTTTAAAAAAAAAAGCTAATGAAGGCATAAATCCTAAACCCTAAAAAATTAGATACTGCAATGTCTTGTGTTAATTTTCTTTTTTAAAATATAAAAAAATTTTAATTTCACAATATAAAAATAAAAAGAAAATTTCATAGTAAAAAAAATAAAATAATTGTTGAGTCATAAAAGGAGGAGGGATAAGAGTAACAAACTCAAGAGAAGGAGAGAGATCGCAGTTTTTATGCTGAGAGGATTCTTTCCCCAACTAAAAAATAAAAGATCTATTTTTATCTCATTCTACTCACAGAAACCCTAACTTAAATTCATCTTATATATATATATATATATATATATATATATATATATTGTAGAGATTATGATATCAATTTTATCTTTCACCTTTTTCCTTTTCTTGACTGTGTTATAAAAAAATTATCACTTAAAAGTTGAATTTTCAAGCTTTTTTTGTGTTATATAAAGGAACAAATTCAACTACATAGAATAAAATAAAGAGAACGAACAGAAAAATAGAGCAAGTCAATGACACTATCATTTATATATCAAAGTTTCACAAAATAGGGGAATGAGATGGGAACAGTACTACAATATTATATATATGAGCAATGAACAATAGTGCAGTATTATTAGCAGAGAAAAAATGGAGAAGACAGGAGCATAGAAAAAAAAGATGAAAAACTCACTTGAAAATTCTTGAAACACTTGAAAAGTCACTTCAAACAATCCTTCAAAATCCAATAGGTTTGGATGAGATTGTTTTGTGAATTTTGTATTTATAGATAACACTAGAAAGTCCTTCAAAATCTGTCTCACACAACAATCCTTTAAAATCCTTATATTTTTGAATAATATAAATATTGCTTGAGTATAACTTTAGATGCCTAGATTGGACATGCTACGAACTTTGAGAAAAAGATGATAGTTTGTTCTGTAATTGCATCTGATCTATTAATATATATAAATAGGGTCTTGTCAATCTTGTCATGGTTTGTTCTAAATTATGAATTTTGATTTGTGTTAAGTTGAGTCCCATGCACTTGGTAAAAATAAGTCTATTTGGTTCTTTAAATTCTATTGCTATCTTATTTTTGGCCTTTTTTCTCTAATAAGATTCATTTAATTTATGGTGCTAGAATTACTGTAATTTTGGTTGTTGACTCTTTAACATATTGTAAGCCCACTGTTCATGATTACTCTTTGACTATTTAGCATGGATGTACTTTTTTTTCTGTTATGCCATTATTAATTTGAAATAGTTTGCAAAAGCTTAAATGAAGTGCTGTTTTTCATTAGCTGGAGATTTGTTGTTTATTGAGATGAGATATAAAATAAGTTTGTTTGTCAATGTTAGATTTTGATCGTCTTTTATTGGATCAAGTGAATTTATACTATTATCGGAAATAAATTTAGATTGAGTATTTGATGGGTTAGTGTGTACAATGTATTTTCCAGATTTTTGGGCAACTTGTTGAATAAAATTTAGTTCATAGAGCTGTATTTTTGTGCTAGATAGTGACCTTGTTTCATGCTGAGTCCAATCATCCTTTTTCTTTTGTATTGGATGCTGAGGTTGATGGTTGTTTGATGTTATAGTCATCATGTTTTTAACACTGGATTAGTGAAAAATATATCTTTACCCCTTTGACAATTTTGTTTTAAACTAAAAAAGATTAGTCAACTTGTTACTTCCCAACAAGATCAAAGCATGCAACAAATTTCTTCAAAGATCTTTGATGCCTTACGATTGAACTCTTTTGAACCAAATGGTGAAATCAAGGTTTGTTCCAAGTTCCAACTTTGCATGCCTGTCTAATCTTTTTGTTGTTCTTCAATCCTAAAGGTTAGTTTGATTAGGTTTTTTTTTTTAACTGGTTTATTTCTTAAAACTAGTTTATTTCTTAAAATCGGTTCAAAAACTAGTTTTGTTATGAAACCAGTTATAAACCTGCTTATTAAAGTAATTCAATTTTAAAATTGTTTATTAAGGTGGTTCACATGATTTAGAAACCGGTTCATTTTATTAAAATGGTGCGGTGCAGTTCAGTGCAATTTTTTTTAAAAAACCAAACCATGCACACCCCTACCATCATACAATTCATCCAACCATTCACATTCTGCCACGTCATTCCTTTTATATTAAGAGAAAAAGCATTTGTCTATTGGTAATATAATGAGGTAGAGCAATCATTCACGCCAATAATGTGAATAACAAATAGTTTTACTACTTTCGGTTTTGCTTATAGTTGAAGATACAACATTGTTGCTTTCATTTCAAGGCTTCTCTTTTCAATCAATATTATCCAAAGGAATTTTTTTCTACCATTGTTCCTCTATTTAAATGTTCCCTCTATCGCAGTATTTTTTTTTTGTTTCTATCCAGCCATTTAAATATACAATCATTCCATCCATTCTTTTCTTCATTAGTCAATTAATATTATTTTGTTTCATTATAGCATTTCTTCTTCATTATCAAGTATAATATTTTTTTTTGTTTCATTATAGCTTGGGTTGTTGTCAAAGATTTGTGATGGATTGGAGGCCTAGTGTTGGCAAGGAATTTGATGATCCTGAAGAAGCCTGGCAATTTTGGGTAGAATACAGTTCAAAAATGGATTTTAGAGTTAGAAAAAATTACTTCAACAAAAGGAAGGAAGATGGTTCCATTACATATTGTAGATTCATTTTTTATAAGGAGGGGAAGAAGAACAATCATCCTTGGTTAAAAAGCCCAGGGCTGATACAAGAATTGAGTGCCAAGCAAGAATAACACTTGTTGCAAAAAATGGCAAGTTTGTAATTCATGAGTTTGTAGAGAACCATAATCACCTTTTACAACTTGCAAAAACAACCT